ATGTTCCAGTTTGAAAGCCGTTTGTCACCAGTGTGCCGACGTTTCCAGGCTTGGGGTTAACTCAGGCTGGACAACCTCTATGCTTTTTCCATCTTTTGGTTTACGTGACTGTAGTTTTTGTTTCAACGCTAATTGTCCTTTTGCTTTACTATTTTGCTTCCTGAGTTCTGACGGTGCAGCTGATCCAATTTAGGAGCTGACGGTCTCCTAACACAGCTTCATAAAGAGCAGAGCAAAGAATGATTGCTGGGCGAGATCAGAGATTATTAAAAACGAATTCCCGCTGGAACCGAGACTGTGAATATATCCTTGTTTATACAACGGCTGATTCCTTTGAACAGAATTAAGGGCTTAAGAGGGATAGAGGGAGACTGAGTTTTCCATGTGAAGCAGGGAGAGGATTTGTTGCCTTAATTCAATGGGGAAAACAGTTCCAGCTGTTTCAGATTTTACTGCCATGGAAGCGAAAGTGGCGACCCTGTCTTTGTTCTCATGTCCTTTTGTGTCCGGCTGCTCATTCATTCACCAGCTCAGACTTTCTGAGAATAAGGGCCAAGGAAAGGGCTGCAGGGTCCCTTCTGTTGGGGGCATTGCCCTCCCCGTGTGTCTCAAACCAACTCGATGAACAGTTGCTACCAGAGAACCTGAGGTCTCACTAATCAAAGGATTCAGAGGTGGACTCACAAGGAAGGCCAAGGGTGATTTTATTAGATGGTATGGGAAAGTGCGGTACAGGTGAGCTGAAGATCCTTGCAGCCACTGGTTAAGAAAAGAAAAGGAACTAGAATGGGCGGCTGTCAATCAAGCTAAGGCAAGAGCTGCAGAGCCCTCCATGGTCTTCTGCCGTCCTCCACCACACTGCCGCTTGTATTTGGAGGGGTTCCAGTCTTCCTCTGCAAATGGGCTTCCTTCACACCCTTGATGGAGCTTCACAGTTCCCACACCCCTCTCACGCAATGGTGTCTGCTGGTTTTCTTTCTTTTTTTTAAGTTTTGAGAGAAAAACACAAGCAAGTTAAATCTCTTCCCTCTCTCTCTCTCTCTCTCTCTCTCTGTGTGTGTGTGTGTGTGTCTGTCTCTCTCATCTCTATCTCTCCCTCTTTTTTTTTTTTTTTTTTTGAGACAGGATTCACTGCCTAGCTCTGGCTGTTCTGGAACTCTGGAACTAACCCTGTAGACCAAGCTGGCCTTGAACTCGTAGAGATCTGCCTGCCTTTGCTTCCCACTTGCTGGAATTAAAGGTTCAGCAATATTTTTCTCTTTAAAATGGAACACTGTTGGAGACCTAAGCAAGGGAAGGACCCTGGCATGTGGAGCTGCCGTCCACTGGCAGCTGGCTCAGGTCACTTACTTCCCCAGCTACTATGCTGGGTCTCACTGTTTATGCTTGAATTCTTGTTTTGTTTTGAGTTTACCATCATATGCTTCCCCATTTCTAGCAGGAAAGACACCAGACTAATCCCAGTTATAAAATTAAGTAATTTCACATCCAGGCCGTTTTTCTCCCCACCAACTTTCCATTCATGAGAAGAAATTTTATATATGTGACTTACTATTTTAAAACTCTACTAACTGAAATACTAACTTAACAAATGCAATTGTATTCAAAGTGTACAATATGAATTTGAAGCTGTCTTTGGTAGTACAGAAGCAAAAGTAAGCAAAAATGTAATATGTAAAACTGCTTATGACCTTGCTGTATTGCATAGATGGAAGCTTCTTCATCACGCTTGAGACAAAACACAAAGCACACTAGAATCAACCAGTCGGTTGGAATAGGTGCACAGCATGAGAACCCAAAGCTGCAAGACGGTTTCACTTGCATCCAGTACTGACCTGGTAGTTCAAGTTTGTCTTTCCCTGTGTTTTAATATGTAGAGTTTTTAAACCAAACAGTTTAATTTGTTTGTCAATAATTGTCTTCTTCCTTACATAATTTATTTAAAGCAATTTTAAATGTGTCCTTTATTAAGTCCTATAGGGATGAATATTACATACAACAATAAATACAAATTTTATAGTACAGTATTTCAGAAAGTATAGTTTTAGCTTCACGTAATCCCCTAATTGTATGTCATGTAAAGTACAAGTGATCTTCTAAAGTTTTAAGGTTATTCAAAAGGAGTTTACATTTGGCTGTGTTTATCTGTGTGTGTCAGTGGTGTATGTGTGTGCACATTCCTGTGTGTGTGTGTGTGTGTGTAGGTGGTGTGTGTGCACATGCACATGTGTGAGTGGGAACCAGAGGTCAGCCTCACCGAAGGTCTTCCTTGCTTCTCTCCAGCTTTCTTTGTGTTTTTGAGGCGTCTCTCACTGGCCCTGAGCTCTCTGAGTCAGCCGGGCTGGTGGGCGGGCAGGCTAAGGCGCTCCAGGGCCATGCCTGCTCAACCATAGGGTCACAGATGTGTGCTCAATGCTAGGGTTTTCACATGGGCTCTGGGCTTCTGAACTCAGGTCCTCAAGCTTCCCAGTGGAGCCATCACCTCAGCCACACATGGTTTGGGGTTTTATTTCTTTATTTTGTTTCTGAAAAGGGGGGATACTAAAGTGCTGCGTTGGAAATGTCTTATTTAAGAAAATGGCTTCCGCACAGCTGAAGTTTGCCAAAGGACAGTGTCAGGTTCTAAATGGACGCTAAAGGCAATCTCATTCTGGATGCATGCTCTCAGTCTCTTCCCCTAGTGCAGCTGAGATTACAGGGCTGGGGCACTGGAGGGAGGGAGGCAGAGGGGCTGCTGAAGACACCAATAGATGTGCAGATACCTGGTGCAGCCTGGAGTGTGGTGGGGGCTAGAGGGACACCAGGGAATGATCAGAGATTTAAAAGGGAGCATTGCTACCAGAAGGAGTAAAGGAAAGAAGGAGGGGAGAGGGTGGGAAGGGAGGAGAAAGGAGGGAGGTAGGGTGGGGAAAGAGAAAGAGAAGGGAGGAGGGAAGGACGAGGGAGGGAGGAGGAAGGCGGGAGGGTGGTAAAGGAAGAAGAGGAAGTAGGGAGAGGAGGGAAAGAGAAACCAGAGAGAGTTTTTGCTGTGGTGTGGTTTAGATAAAAGGGTCCTAAGATCAATTTTGAACCTTGTTGAGTCACAAGTAACATTACAACTTCTGAAAGGACTGTCACAAAACAACTGAGCGCACAGGAGCCAGAGCGGTTGAGAGGCAGAGGAGAAAGTGTACATTTGGAGTCAATATTCAGTGCGTATGAAATATAAGCAGGAAAGTGCTTCAAGAAGTGAGCCTAGAGAGAGGAAGAGTAGGGCTGAGGATGTGGAAAACAAGCCACGTGGGAGAGTGAAGAAGAGAAATTATAGGAGGAGAACCAACAAAATTAAAACATCGTCTCAAAGGAAACCCAGACGCACACTGAGTAAGGGAAGTCAGGAGCTAGGGAGCATGGCTAAAACGTCCTGAGTTTGTTCTGGGTGCTTCCTCTTATGCAGTCTTTAGGATGATTCAGAGGCGTCAGGTCCGTATTAGCAAATGAGAGCACAAATGCTTGGAGGGTCAGCTCTCTGCCCTGCTTGGTCCTGGCACAAATCCTGCCAGCCTTCCAAGTCAGTTTTCTTTTTCTTCCTTAAAAATTTATTTTTTGTTGTCTGTGTGTGTGTGTGTGTGTGTGTGTGTGTGTGTGTGAGCACATGCTTTAGTAACATGGCATGCATAAGGAGGCCAGAGGATAACTTGGTTGAAGGTGTTTTTGTCTTTCCACTGTATGGGTCCTGGGGATCAAACGAAGATTGTCAGCCATGGTGATAAATGCCTTTACCCCCTGAGCCACCTCACAGGCCACAGACACAATTGTTTTGTTTTGTTTTGCTTTAATTGGAGACTCTTCCTTTAAGCCCCTGTATCTTTAACTTCTTCCTACGCTCAGCAGGAAGTTGCATTCACTTCCAGGGCGGGATACCTTTTAAACATACCACTTCTCAGTTACATAAAAACTGCTTATTTATTAAGCCTATCCATGTAACTTCATGGTATTTCATGAAGGACTCTGGACTACCCGGTGCTGTGTAGCAGGGAAAGGAGCAGACAGTACAGACCAGATGGATCCAGATTCATCTTTGACCCCAGTGCCTGTGTGAACTCCAAGGGGTGCTGGATTCTCAAAGCCTTGCTCTGCTCTTGTATTAAACAGACTTGATGTTTATCACCTTGCAGAATGCCATAGAGCTTAGTGATATTAGGAAATAGTCTAGCACTGGGCTTTTAGTGTATGGGAGCCAGCTTTAAAGTAGCAAGAGGTAGTGATGACCAGGAAGCATGGGTTTGCTGTGGACAGCTGGAGCCAGGTGATAACATCTCTCCTCCAAAATCAAGTTATGTACACTCTAACCGAGTTCAGGTTGCGTTGTTCTTTATTTAACCTGAAACCTTATGTGAGCATAGACAGAAAAGATGTTTTCTGAAGTATAAAGGGGCCACCACATACTGCCACATGGGATTGGCTCTCTAGAAGGACTGCAGTGGAACTGGGTAGCCCTGGTCTTGTGTAGGGAGCTGCGTGGGAAATATGATGGAAAAGGCATAAAGAGTGGAGGATGCGGTAATGTGGGATTCCCCTCTGTCCCCTGTGAATTGTCTTAATACCATTGGTTAATAAAGAAGCTGCCTGGGCAAATGGATTAGTAGAGCAAAGCCAGGCAGGAAATCTGAACAGAGATACAGAGAGTGGGAGGAGTCACAGAGATGCCACGTAGCTACCTAAGGAGAAGGATGCCAGAACCTTACCAGTAGACCACAGCCTCATGGTGATACACAGATTAGTAGAAATGGGCTAATTTAAGATGTAAGAGCTAGCTAGAAATATGCCTAAGCTATTGGCCAAACAGTGTTGTAATTAATATAGTTTCTGTGTGATCATTTGGTTCTGGGCAGCCAGAAAATGAACAAGCAGTCTCCGCCTACCATGTGGCCACGGAACAGCTGGAGAGCCATGCTGCCATCCATGCGGATATTGCTTGGCATCTTAAAAATCTGTCTGCCTGTCTGTGCTTCCCACAGATCTGCACCCCTGACCTGGTGGTCTTCCTGGCCTGTGCCAACCAGAGGCTCAGAGAGAGATTAGTGAAGCGTGCAGAGCAACAGGGACGGCCCGATGACAACCTGAAAGCCACCCAGAGGAGACTAGTAAACTTCAAGCAGAACGCCGCCCCACTGGTGAAATACTTCCAGGAGAAAGGACTCATCGTGACTGTAAGTTGGCTTCCCGAGGGCACAACCACACAACGCGACCTTTCTGACTGCCAGCGGCCATGTTCTCACTTAGAAATTCTCTTTATTTTAAGAGGTGGCTTTGGGGACAGTGGGCAGTATCAATGAAAAAAAAATTTAGTCATTTTTAATAATATCCCTTGATTTGACCATAATGATTTTTTAAACTTTGCATTTTAGTTTGATTTTTATGAGAGAGGATATGTTGTCAATCTTGTCTGTGGCTCACTACCATTCATGTTTGAAGTGTTTGAAGTGACCATCTGGGTAGTTTTAAGCAACATTTGCCCATTCCTCTGTTTACCACAGTTATCAGTAGATTTACAGACAGCAGTTGGCATAGTGTCATAGGAGATTAGTTTTAGGTTGGACTTAGTCATGGACTCTATTATGAGATTACAGATCCTGACTCTGCCATCATGTTTTCTGATGGTTTGACTTGTCATAAATGAGAGCTGGTATTGAAATGGCAGTTGTCCATCTTTCTGCTCCTTTCAAACAGTACAATGTACACACACATGTGGCGTAAAGATTTTCATACACACTCAGTTGGTCCTATGGTTACTGGGCTTCAGTGTGCCAATGAAGGATGGTACTGGGTCTTCAGGCCCTGGCCCTGAATATTTTAGAACGTGAGCCTGGAGAGGTGAAGGCAAACCTTGATTGACAGCATTCCGGGTCTGATCAATGTCAAGTCACAGCAAAGACAGACATCCCAGGCCACAGAAGGGTTCCTCGTGCCACAAAACAAAGCCACAGCAGCTTTCTGGCAGCTGGACCGCGGTAGTCAGCACGGGACCTTTCTTTCCTGCCCTCTGCCTCGTCTCCCAGACTAAGAGTTCTGGCCTCGTGGGCTGGCATGCTCAGCTGTGAGTCAGCTGAGAACAATGTATACCCCATCCCTTCTCTCAGTTTTTATGTGTAATGACTGACGAGTCTTCACAGAACCTCTGTGGCCTAACGGTGCCTGTACGAACTGACTCTTGGTTGAACTAAGATGTCCTTGGAACAGAAGAGACAGCTGTGACTTTGGATGGTGTCTTTTTCCGTCTTGATGTATTGTTTGTGATTGTGCTTTAAGTCAGAGTTGTAAGTCTGGTCTGAGGATGGCTTCCCGTGCTGGAGGTTGCTTATTGTTTGGCTTAAAACAGGTACTTGAGGGCAAGAAAAGAGTTAGTAACATTAGGGTGGATTTTTCAATGGCTGTGTGTGTGTGTGTGTGTGTGTGTGTGTGTGCGCGCGCGCGCTTGTGTGTGTGCATGTGTGTGTGCATGTGTGTGGTGCGTGTGCATGTGTGTGTGTGTACGTGTGTGCATGTGTTTGGTTGTTGTGTTTTTCTCACCTACCAGTGCTGATTTCTGCCTTGTGCTATGATAAAAGAAATGAACTCTGCAGACTAAATCCCAACTGCAGGGAGCAAAGCCAGAGTTTCAATTGCTGTGTTTAAGGCTTAAAGGTATCGCCAGAGTGTCCTCATGACTCCCTGCCTTCCTCATGGCAAGCTGAGCAGATTTCCCAAATGAATGCAGAGTGGGGTGTGTTAATTTACTAATATTTTGCGCAGAGGTGAAATGCCATTGCCTGTAATTGAAGGAGTCGGTACCCGTGGAGCTGGTGGCCTATGACCTCACTGCTGAAGCCAAATGAGTCCTCAGATAAATGCCTCTAATTTCTGGGAAGAAACTTGCCTTGCAAAGTCACCTTTTAGAGACTAGGAAACACAGACTGAGCTCCCGAGAGTATAATAATTTGGATAAAAATCTCCTGACAAAGACATAAATACTGTCTCCTGAGACACGTGTTCTCTTTCCGGGCTGGGATCACAGTTCCCTTTTAGATCCGAAACTTGGTGGCACTTCTGTGTTCAGAGACGAGCTAAATACTAAAAATGATCATCTTTATTCATTTTAACACTTTAGTAAAAATCTGTTAGTTAATAGGTTAGACTCAGTGTTTTCCTTTTCTGCCTCCCATCCAGCCCCCTGCCTGGGCATCTACCTGCTACTCCTAATGGAGTCCTTCCTTCACCTAGTGAATGACCACTAAGAAGACACTGTTCCTCTAGTCGTCAGGGATGCAGGCCGAGGAGATGGCTCAGTGGGGAAGGGTGCTCGCCGAGGTGGGAGACTGTTGCTATGATAACCACCGTAACGAAAGGCAATGCAGAGAGGAAAGGGTTGATTACACCATTTAGGTCCAGTCCATTATTGAGGGAAGTCAAGACAGGAAGTCAAGGCTGAAACCCCAGGGAAATGCTGCTTTCTGGCTTGCTTTCCCAGGCCTGTTCGGTAGATTTTCTTATACAGCCCAGGCCCTCCTACCTAGGAATGGTTCTGCCCACAGTGGCCTGAGGCCCTTCTCCATCAATCATCAATCAGGAAAATATCCCCACAGACATGTCTAGAGGCCAGTCTGATGGAAGTAATTTCTCAGTTGAGATTTTTTTTGTCTTCCCAGGAACATCTAGGTTTGTGTCAAGTTGACAATAACCAAGACAGATACCAACACCCATATATAAAGCTAGGCATGGCTGAGAGTACTCTTAACCCCAGTACTGAGGGTGAGATGGGGACAGGAGGTTTGCTGGGGCTGGCTGGCTGGCCACCCAGCCTAGCTGAAGAGCAGGAAGCTCGGTGAGGTTCAATGACGTACCCTTTCTTGAAATAAGAAAGTAGCGAGCGATAGCACAGGACACATGACTTCCTCTAGATGCACGACACATACAACTATGCACACACATGTGTATACCACACACATAAAAAAATAAGAGTAAAGGATTTTGGTTTCTTCATTGACTGTTTCAAGCTTCTAGAGCGGTACTAGCCCAGGACGTAGCATGTTCCCATACATGGAGAGTCTATAGTTCGTGAGAAAAGTGTATGAAACCCTGAGCTGTGAACTGTGAGGACTGGTGTTCAGGCATCTCTCACGTAGTCTGTTTTCTCGGTACTGAAATTCCCTGCAGCAAACAGAACAGGCTACCTCCCTATCCATACGCGGGATTAACCATTGTCTCCACGCGAGCCTCCTGGGGACCACAGGTCCTTGGAGTTTGAAACCTCATGTGGAATCTCAGCTCCCCTGAAATTAATGTCATGATGTCCCAAAGGTGTGACATTGCTGGAGAAAGCTGCCTTGCAGTGTTATCCAGGAACCGTGAGAGAGGGGTGTGACCTGATGATGGTGATAGGAGACAGTGCAGAGACCTTAAGGGTCACCAGACAGCTTTATGGCGTGGCTCGGATGCCAGTGGCATCATTCAACATCCATGTGACCTGCAGGTGGCATAACCTTCCTCATAACTCACACCTTACCTGTAAAATGGGTCCCACCCTCCATTCTGCCCCAGTGTGGTTATGAGGACTAACGGGATGGCGTATGTACGAAGTGTCTCTAGATTATGGTAAGCGTCATTTAGTGGGTTGATATCATTTCATGACTTCCATGTCTCTTATTTTCTCTTCTGCTCCATCTAAGGCTCTTCTAGGATCTAAAACTCCTACTAGTAAGAACATGCCTTTGAGGACATTGCCGCTGCTCCCAGATAGATGTCACTGGATTGATCCAATGGCTTCATTTATCTATTTTGAGGTGAATTGAACCACCTAGCAGTCTCATGTCTGCTAGGAAAGCCCACTACCTTTGAGCTATGTCCTTGGCCAGGAATTTCTCTAACAGCCGTGTTGTTTACATAGTCAGGATGTGTCTGAATCATGTAGTTGAATTGTAATGGACGTCAACCCATTCTGTTTTCTTTTTCCTCCTTCTTCATTGACTGTGTATCTGTTGTAGCTGCGACTAAAGGAAAAATCGTTTTGACTGAGCAGAGAATCTGATAGTCAGAGGTACAGCATAACGTCGCCTGGTCATGATCTCGTCAACGTTCTTCCCATTAGTTGAGCTCCGTGGCACGTCGTTTTATTACATGGTTGTGCATGCAGTTTTGTTCGCAGGTTGAATCTAAATGATAGGAACTCCGAAGGCTGGGGTATTGGGTCTTCGTGGAATTATATTAGATATAATTTCCTTTCATTCTTTGTTGATTCCTATGTTTTTAATTAAGGAGTGGGATGTTGGGATTTCCAGAATTTGGAAAATGTCTTTCATGATGATGTGAGTGTTTGGAATTAGGGAAGTTGCTTATTTGGTGTTAACCGAGTGAGCGACTCTCATGACATGTTGGGCCCTTGGACTTATGAACCGCCTTACTATTGGGTAATAAGTTCCCTTTTATAGATTTTTGAAGTCTCAATATAATGTTTGCTATTTTCTTAATTTAAAAAGCTTAAACAAAAGCGAATTAGTGTTGTTTGAGTCGCCGTTGGTCAAGAAGCCTTGTAACTTTGCTTCTTAGCTCTTGTGGTGGGAGTGATCAAGTCCACTCCCTGTGGACGCCAGGCCCGCGCTCCATTACAGAGACGTAGCTCCAGTCTAGCTACAAATAAATATGGTGAACTCCGAATGTGCATACGCACGGCTTTTGTTTCTAAAGAAAGAAATATTTTAAGTGCTTGAAAACAGGAGGGGAAAGGGGACTGTCATTTATCTCCTAAATGCATCAAGCTTTGTGCTTTGGGAATTTCACCAAGTTAGAAAGACAAACAACTTACCAGCGCTGGACAAATGCTGCTTAGCATGGGTGTTAACCGGGACCAGTGAGAGGGCTCAGCCAATCAGGGTGCTTGTTACCAGACCTAACAACCAGAGTTCGGGCCCCTGGCCCCACCTGATGAGAGGACAGAACCCACTCTCCAAGTTGTCCTCTGACCTCCCCGTGCATGCCATGGTGTACGTGGACACACACACACATACACACATACATACACACATACATACACACACACACACACACACACACACACACACAAAACCCACATCCAAGCACAGTAAATAAGTAAAATCCAATGTAAAAGACTTTATTTTTAAAACTGTGTGATAGTCAGTGAGTGCCTGCCATCTACTTTAGGTGGTGACTCAGCCCC